GGCCGCCCTGCACTTAGCTGGCAGGGGCAGAGGTGACATCAGGGTGACAGCTCTGAGTCTCACTCCAGGCTGGGGGGGACGTGGGAGCACTCCTGAGCTTAGGGAGATGGGCATGGGGCAGAGTGAGTTGGGTGTCGCCCCCACTTGTAAAGGTGTTACTGTGTTCCTGGGCAAGGTGCAGAATCACTCTAGTATGGGCCCCCACTTAATCCTCTTGTGAGGATTTATTTATCCTCTGGAAGCTGGGGGAAGCTTCCAGACAAGGCCTCCCCAGGATTCTCTGCCCTCCACTCCCTCCTTCAGCAAGGGTTCCAGAATCTACCAGTTAGACGCTCCCGCTTCCCTCTTCAGAACACCAGCGGGGCTCCTTTCTTTGGGTGCTTATCCCAGTCCACCCTGGGATGGTGGCTAGTCGTGTCCTTCATTTCACCGGCTCAGGGCGGTGCTGCAGACCGCAGCCTGGGGGCGCCTGCCCGGAGGGTTTGGGGGGTCTCATGCCAGGCCCTCAGGGTTACCTGGGCCTGCTTTACCTTTGCAGCCTGCCCTGCCCTTCCTGCTTGTGGTTCCAGAAGCTTCTCCCGTGTGTGTACATTCAGGTCCCTCTACCTGGGTTCCCCCCACCATCTTCCCCTCACTTTGCCTCCTAAGGCAGCGATTAGCATGACTGAAGAATTTTTGGAATGCAGAATGCTTTGACAACATGGGATAAATGCGGCAGCTGCCCACGGTCACCATTGGGTGAATGTGTGGCAATTTGACAGAATTAGGAGTCTTTCAGCCTGTCGATTTCAACCAGAAGGGGGTCCTCATCGCCCGGGATCTGTTCTTTGGCGGCCAGCTGTTTCCCCTCACAATGTAAGGCACACCCTGGTGCTTGCTCCTAAGGCCTCCCAAAACCCGTAGGAGTAAAGTGATTAGAGGAACTTCAGTTGTTTTGCTCCCTCTGAATGGCCCTCTTTCATCTGGATATGCAGGGACAAGAGCCTTTTTAAACCCAAATATCAGGGGAGGACAAGAGTCCCACAAGAGCCATTTGCGCTCTGGGTGGGAACACCATCGGGGACAGGGACTCCTGCCCAAGGAAGGACTCCGGCCCCTTCCTTCCCTTTCCTCTTTCTCCGGAGGGAGCGCAAGGCAGGAGCTCGGGGGCAGGCAGAGATGCGAAGCCGAAGACGGCTGTCGTGAACATGTTTTATTTCACTGACTTCTGCGTCTCCCTTCAGCCAGCTCACAACTTCCGTTCTTCAGAGGTTTCCGGCCCAGAATAGTACGTACCACTACCCCATCCCTCTGTTCCTACCGCGCATGGGTTTCTGGATGACGCCAGCCGTTTATTCGTCTGTCCTTAGTGCCTTGTAGGAAAAACCCTAATGCTGTGTGGTCTCCTGAACCGGGCAGTGGCCAGTGTCTGAGAACATATCTGTATGGCGGAGATAAAAGCTTTGTCGGGGGGAGGGTGGTGAGGGAGAAGGGAGGGCCGGGGCTGAACTTGTTTTTACTCTCCCATCAAGGTTTTTCTTAAAGCCGTGAAGGAAAACAGTTCAGTTGTATTAGTCTGGGTCTGACCTTTCTGGAACTTTAGTCACGTACTTTTTAGGACACCAGCATTTGCGGGGAGAACTCTGGTTTTTCTGTAGCTGGGAGGGGTGGTTTATGAGTCTATATTTCCTTACCCCAAGTAAAATGGGTGTGCCATCCCCAAAATGGTTGTTTGTTTGTTTTTTAAGATTTTATTTATTTGAGGGGCGCCTGGGTGGCTTAGTTGGTTAGGCGACTGCCTTCAGCGCAGGTCATGATCCTCGGAGTCCCGGGATCCAGTCACATCGGACTCCCTGCTCGGTGGGGAGTCTGCTTCTCCCTCTGACCCTCCCCCTTCTCATGCTCTCTCTCTCAGTCTCTCTCTCAAATAAATAAATAAAATCTTTTAAAATTTTGTATTTATTTGAGAGAGTGAACAGGGCAAGGAGGAGCAGAGGGAGAAGAAGCAGACTCCCCGCTGAGCAGGACCCCAACTTGGGACTCGATCCCAGGACCCTGGCATCACGACCTGAGCTGAAGGCAGCCACTTACCCCACTGGGCCACCTAGGCGCCCCCTCAAAATGGATTTCTTAAAGGACAGTCCCATTGCTGTGCCCTGAGACTTGCAAATCAGGGTTCCACGCTTCCCTGTATTACAAGCCCACCAGAGAGAACCCCATGGAGCCTGGCAGTGGGAAAGGGTGTTCTTGGCTACCCAGAGGGTGTGCGAAGCTCGGGGCCTGGAGTGAGCTCAGAGCAGAAGACAGGAAACGGGTCCACAAGGAAGATCTGCATTTTGTTTCTGTAAATGCTGTGGCTGCCCATGCTCTCCAGCCTCCTGGCCTCAAGAGTCATCGAATGCGGTCACCCTAAGGCTGTATCTGCTTACTGTCTCCCGAGCCGCAGGGCAGCCTCACAGGCCAGGATGGAGAATGTGCTTTGTGGGCTTCCCCGCAGCTTTAAATCTAGCTCTTTACTGGAAATGCTGGTGCCTCATTGCCCAGGGCAGAGGCAGCATTCCAGGGCCCCCTTCCACCCCGCCTCTGATTTCATATGTAGATGGGGACTCTGGTTCTTCTGCAGTCACAGGAACACTGAGACAACTGGCCTTGCACACCATCACGGGATAAAACCAGCCTATTCTTTTGCATTGTTCCCTTTTTTTCCCCCCCAAAGGAAATATAAGGGAAACCAAGGGGAATTTTTGCCCGTGATTTCCAAGGCAAAGGTCACTGTTAATGGCTGACTGTTTCCAGAGTGTTGGGACTTCTGATCAGTATGGATTTTTTTTTTCCTTTTCTCTTTTTCTTTTCTTTCTTTCTTCTTCTTCCTTTTTTTTTTTCCTTCTTTTTGGTGGGGGCAGAGAGAGACGAAGAGGGAGAGAATCTTAAGCAGGCTCCATGTCTAGCACAGAGCCAACCCAGGGCTTGATCTCATGACGCTGAGATCGTGACCTCAGCTGAAATCAAGAGTCAGACGCTTAACCAACTGAGCCACCCAGGAGGCCCCTCAATTTTTTTTTTTTTTAAGATTTTATTTATTTATTTGACAGAGAGAGATCACAAGTAGGCAGAGAGGCAGGCAGAGAGAGAAAGGAGGAAGCAGGCTCTCCGTGGAGCAGAGAGCCCGATGCGGGGCTTGATCCCAGGACCCTGGGATCACGACCTGAGCCGAAGGCAGAGGCTTTAACCCACTGAGCCACCCAGGCGCCCCCCCCCCTTTTTTTTAAAGATTTTATTTTTTAAAATAATCTCTATGCCCACCGTGGGGTTTGAACTCACAACCTGAAGATCAAGAGTCCCAGACTCTACTGGCTGAGCCAGCCAGGTGCCCCCTCTTCTGGTATTTATAATCCTGGGCTCCCTAGCTCTTGTAACTGGCAACACAAACATACAGCTGATAGAGTGGAAAAGATGGCTTGGCAGCAATAGTTGGGAATACTAAATGAAGAAAAGGTAAAAGCTGCACGGATGTAAAGGATTGGTAAATGAAATCTACAAAACCATCAATAACTCAACGGCCCAAGTAAGAGAGGCAGCTCTCGGCCTTATTCTTGGGTATTTGAGCAGAGTCACTATTTTTGGCATGCGAATTCAACCAGGAGAAGTCACAGATTTTATTGTGGACTTCATATTGTATAAAATCACTGGTTTTCTAATTCCAGGAGCCACTGAGTTCAATGTGGTGAGTCTTTTTAGCACCTAGAGTTGTGTATTAGGCTTAGCCGAGGTTTTCATTCCATGGTTTAGAACACTTAACTACTAACATTAGACGTCTGGGGAGAAGGTGATCTTGCCCTTTTTTTTGTATTTACAGAAATTGTCCTTGTATTTCTGTCAGGAATCGATTCACTTCCTGTTGAAACAAACACTCACAAAAAGTGCTGCTTTTTCTTAGAGATTTTCCCCTCAAATCATGTATATGTTAATTGGTTGCTCAATAGAGAGTTAATGATTTTTACAGTTCTCTTTGTTGTGAACTGTGATCTTTCACAAAATTAGTAGAAAGGGAATGTTTTTCCGTTATCACGTGTAGTACATGTTTTCCCTTATTCTGAAAATCAAAAAATAATCGCTTTAAAAAGTTAATATTTGCTCAGTATAGAAAATTTGGAAGATAGAGATTTGGAAATTTGGAAGAAGAGAAAGAAGATAATCATAGGTGGTCCATCCCCCACCAAAAAAATCCACTGTTAATAATTTTAGCGTACAGGTAATTTTCCGCATGACAGTGTTTCTGAATAATTGATAATAACTAGTAGCTAATACAATCTGTCGGTTTATAGTCTTAATTTCTGTGTAAACTAAAGATTCTTTTTTGATATACAAATCATGAAATGTTTAAAATTTAAATTATAACTACTTAAGTTGTATGTCGAATGTAAATGTTATTGCTGGTTTAAAACAACAAAAACCTAAGGTTCCTTCTGCTGAGAAATTCATTATGTCAACTGGAGGTTTTCTATCACAGCAGTGACACTGTAACCCTAAGTTAAATCACCGATCAAGAACTGTGGGCTTTTGCTAAGATGCAAACCAGTAGTGAAAGTGTAACTTCCTCTTCTTTATAGTCCCATCAAGGGAAGGCACCAAGATCAGTGAAGTTGTCCTAAGTCAGAGAGTACCAAAGATTCCACAGGGAGAGCATGGAAAATTCACCAAGTTCAGAGAGTTGCTCTGTATCTTTAGAAGACATGATATAGGGAGATCCTTTCACAGTATCCTGTAGGAGGGTGCTCTCGGCCTTGCAAGAACCTTGGACATCTTAGCCGAGGCCTGAGTTCATGACCCAGACTCTCCAGCAGCAAGCTTGTAGCCAAGATGTGAAAGAGTGTAGCGCAAAATGATCTTAATCGCTGTTTTGTCCTGTGTGCGTCGTATGTGCCGTTTGTCCGCACTAAAGCTTTTCCTCTGATGCATGTCTTTGCCCGTTTTCTTCTCTGAATTCCAGCCTGACTGTGCTCTGGTTTTATTCTTCCCAGCTTAAGTGAGAGCTTTTTCATGGTGAAAGGAGCAGCCCTCTTCTTACAGCAGGGAAACAGCCCTCAAAGCCAGCGAAGTCTCCAGCATCCCCACAAACATGCAGGTAAATTGAGGTTTTGACCTTGGAACTTATTTTCTGTGCAATGGGAGACCCTCCCATTACTGGTGGTGAGCAAGTTGCTGTTTTTCAAGGCCAGAGGAATAGTGGAACACAGGCTGGTCATGCCTGGTGCAAAGCAGGAGCTCTTCCCTTGGGCAGGTAAGCCATGCACGTTTTCCCGGTAGCCCCGAGAGCTAGCACCCTGTGGACTGCGCATGTCTGCGCTAGAAGTAAGGCAGTCGGCAGCGTTCTGTTTGGATGTAAAGGTTTCCCACCCACAGTTTATCAGTAAACTACAGATTTTGAGTTACAGTATGATTTTTTGTTTTTTTTTTTAAACAAATGCACCAGAACTTGTTATAGCCAAGACATTGTCCCCTTGATAGTTACTCCCTTGGGATGTCCTATACCTCCTCTGAGAACTCTGGTCGTTTCTCTGAGCTTCTGGGAAGCTCTCATTTGGGGAATTCCTTTACAGGTCTGTGGCCAGTGTTGGGGTAGGAAGTCTTTATGATTTAACAGTGGATTTGGTTTTGGGAAGTAGACCGAAGTGATAAAGTGGGGATCAAACCCAGTATTCATTTAGGTCCAATAGCACACAAGTAGGAAATTCCTTTCCATTCCTGTCTGAGGCACTGGTACTTGATGCCCATATAGTAACAGAGGCTGGTTTCCTCAGGTGCCTGGACTCTGACACCGAAGGCAGTTTGCAAAGAGGAACCAGCAAACATTGCATACAAGTGCATCTTTGTAATAGGCCTGTGGCCTCTGCAGGCAGTTCTGGGCAGGGCAGCGCATTTCGCAGTACAATCTGCCAAGCCCTCTGACCTCAGAACAACAGCAGGTGAAAGCAGCCAGGAGCCGGGGCCAGTTCCCTTGTCACCGGGATCATTTTGTCTCTCACCTCAAGTCATCTCGCCTCATTTTGGATCTGAATGCCTAGGTTAGAATTTCGTGTCTTACACTTTACAGAGAACACCAGGGGTCCGTCGGGATTTTCACATACTGTTACTTGGACTCAAGACCTAGCTCTGTTTGAAACTCAGTTGTCAGGAGGCAGTGTGGTTTGGGCAAGAATGTGTGATTCGGAGTCGGACAGACCTGGCTAGTGATCCCAGTCCTACAACTTACCGAGTCGTCACGGTCGACTTCAGAGCCTCAGTTGCCCGATCTTAACAATGGCCATCAAGTACCAGTACCTCAGACAGGAATGGAATTTAAACTGGATGCATGCAGGGGAGCCTGGGTGGCTCCGTCGATTCAGCACCCGACTCTGGATCCTGGCTCAGGCCTTGATCTCAGGGTCGTGAGTTTAAGCCCCCTCAGCGTGGAGCCTGCTTAAAAAACAAGTACGCATGTAGCATACTTACCTCCTCCTGGGTGCCCTGTGTATAGTAGCAATGACTGCGAGTACCGTAATACAACAAACAGAACCTTCCTTCTTGCATCTGCTAACGGTTCTGTCCCGTCAGGAATTCAACCGTTGTTCGTGTCTTAGCACATACAGCAAAGTGAATGCTCCAGCTTTGCTCACACGTAGCATACAGTGTCTCCGTCCTCTGACCCAAGCAGTGTTCCCACACTGTGTGCAGCTTGGGGAAGCAAGCACAAAGCCATGTAATTCGGGCTAGTTCGTGCATCTCTGGAATGTACTGGAGAGTAAGAAGAGAGCTATGGGCCTGATGGCTCTCCTGCCCCTGAGGTCTGGAATGGCCGATGGGCTCAGAAAAGCAAGACGGACGGTGACAGTCCCAGGACTCCCAGGAAATGTCCCGAGGGCAGACACAGGCTGGATTTGCTATCAATTCCTGTTTTTCTAGAATCCCTGAGAAGTGTCTCGGCTGGCCCCCAGTCCCATCCACAACCACGCAGGGCAGAGAAAGAGTGAGGGTTAGTTCTGCCCATGCAAAAGCCGTTCAGGTCACTGCCGCCAGTCCCCAGCCCGAGACTGTGGCGAGGGCCTCTGCCTCAGGCTTCCGGTCTCTGATCTTCCCTCAAGTGCTGAGTGAACACGTCCACACGTGGAGGCAGCGTGCGGAGGCCAGGCTGCGGTTGGGAGTTCTGCCGGTCAGCATTTCCCCGTCTCCACAAGCAGTCCCGCTGAAAGGAGCCTATCTGTGTGGAAAATGTCCCTTTCATCTGGGCACTCACTGACAAAGGGGCTTGTTTTTTCTTTCCTCTCTGTGCTTCTGTGACTCACGGTGAACGGTGGTGGCATGCAGACAAGCCCAGGACCAGCCTAGCCGGTGTGTGCCCTTGGGACGGTGGTGTCACCACAGGCGAGGGTGCTGGTGGATAGAGGAGGCAGAACGAGGAGTTCCGCGTCCTCCCTAAATGTGAACCGTTACCTGCCAATCATTCCTCATGGAAGGCAGCGCCGGTGTGGGGTGTCCTACACCGTGCTGTCCTGTCACACAGAGAACAGACGAGAGGAGTCAGCTCCCAAAGACCCAAGTCCTCTCTGAGGCAAAAAGGACAATTTGGACATCATCTGTCAACCTGCCCTGAAATTCCAAAGATGCCTTTGCCAAAGGAATAAATCCATTGTATTGATCCTTCTGGGATTCCGGTTGTGATCTCTAGGATAATGTTTGTTTTAAAGATAATTCTGTTCCTTCTTGGCATGGCACAAATCAGATCTCCTAGGAATTACTCCTTGTACTACTTGTAGACCAGTGTCTTTGCAGACAAACCTTTCCTTCAGAGAGAAACCATGAAATAGGGACACCTGGGTGGCTTAGTCGTTAAGTGTCTGCCTTTGGCTCAGTCATGATCCCGGGAGTTGTGGGATCGAGCCCCGCATCGGGCTCCCTGCTCAGCGGGAAGCTTGCTTCTCCCTCTCCCCCTGCTTCTCTTCCCTCTCTCGCTCTCTCCCTTTCTCTGTCAAATAAATAAAATCTTTAAAAAAAAAAAAAAAAAGGAAGAAGGAAACTGTAAAATGTATAAAGTGGGGAATAAGCCGTTTTGGAGTCCTGCTTGCTGCTCACTGATTATGAATCTTGGGTAGGGGCCCTGCCTGGAAAACACAGCCTGTTTCCCGTGTTGATCCTCCGTGTCCGTGTCCGTGGAGACTCACCAAATCGGAGAAACTCTCCTCCCTACACCTCAGCCCAGAGGCACCTCCTGGGCTCTGGCATTGCTCTAGGAGCTAGTTCTGCATGACTGCCTTTGGAAAGTAATCATGCTTTATCATGCTTTATTGAATCCGATTGTAGCCTGGCGTGCATATAAACTGCCGTGAAAAGGGGTACGAGCCTTAGGCCATGAGCAGCTGCTAGTAGCCTTCATAACATTTTATGACCTCTGGAATTGCTTGGGTAATCATCACTGAGCCAGTGGGCGAGAATAATGAACATAATGATCAGAAGGAGGCCCAAGACCAGGGCCCAGACGTGCAAGCACTTGGCGGTAGAGGCGTAGGCCTGTGTCCCAGTCATCGCACCTGCCACACTCCTGTCCCTAGACTCCACGGAGAAGGCGAGCGCCACAAAGCCCCGAGAGCAGAGGGACCAGACAGTGTGGTCGGGCACGTAGGTCTCACTGTGGATGTTCATCAAGCTCTGGGGCACACGAGCTGGGGGGATGGATCAGAGGGAGAGGAGAGAATCTCAGGCAGACTCCATGCTGGGCAGGGAGCCCCACATGGGGCTTGATCCCATGACCCTGAGATCATGACTCAAGCCAAAATCAAGAGTTTGATGCTCAACCGACTGAGCCACTCAGGCGCCCCACATTTCAGAACATAAGAGCAGCTTCTAAAAACGTGGGCATCGGCTAGATCTCCCCATCCTCACCAGGCAACATTCAGAAGTGGAGTAAGAGAAATTGAGCCTCCTAGTCTTTGTGACACTTCTCTTGGGGTAGAGGTGGGGTATTTTGACTCCGCCGTCTTCATCCAGACCCTTCGCATCAGCCTCTGGCAGGTTTCTGCCTAGAAGGTGGGTGGGTGGCCTTCTAAAACTTTCTTCGTTGGTCCAACAGGTGACTTGCCCCAACATCTTCAAGTAATGATCAACCTTCTGCGTTGTGAAGATCGGATCAAGCTGGTAAGAAGAGACGAGAGTGGCAATTTTAATTTTTAATTGTGCGATTCAGTACGGAATTATTCACGAGCGGTCAGAGGTGGGGAGTTCCTGTGTTCTAGCAAATTCTCCCAAATTGTTCACAAAAGCCAGAGCCAGGTTTGCTCTTCACCACCCGCAAAGTCCAGAGAAAGGATATGTTAGGCGTCCGTGTGGTTCTGAGGGTGGTGACCTTCATTCTCCGGATTTTAGCGGTTCACGCATTTATCCCAACTCCGGAGCAGTCTCCCAGAGCCAACCACTGTCCTTTGTGCATGGATATAAACTGGATGTGGCCACTGCTCTTAAGAATCTCATCTAAATTCCTGAACTCACAGGGGGAAAGGTAGAAAAAGTCCTTGATGTTGGTTGGGTGACGGAAGGGGCCACCACCTCGAAAGGCAGGTCCATGAGTGCGTCCTTGCCTGTCTAGGCCGTGCGTTTGGAGAGCGCCTGGGCGGAGCGGGCCCGGTACATGGTGGTGGTGGACAGCAGCGGGCGCCAGGACACGGAGGAGAGCATCTTGCTGGGAGTCGACTTTTCCAGTAAGGAAAGGTGAGTCTGGTGGGGTGGCGCTTCCCTTCAGCGGCAGGGATACGGGTTTCGTGGAGAAAGGTTTCCGTGGTGCCATATCCATGGGTGATGATGGTGGGTGTGTTGTGTGGTCTGCGGCATGGGTGAGCAGACATGCAGAACAATAGGATGCACCACTGCGGCTCGGAATTGCCTGGCGCTGTACTAGACTCCATCTCTGCTCTCAACTCTGGGTTTGCTGAGAGAATAGAGAAGTTTCACTGAGCCTAGAAGTTTACTACTGGGTTGCTCTTGGGGATGCCATGGAAGAGAGCACCTGAGCCAGGAGGGCTTCCTGAAGGAGGTGATGGCTGTGGTGGACACCCAGGGACAAGCAGGAGCCAGCCACCTGAAGCAGGGATGGGACCGTGCAGATGTATTTGACTGATAGGTGTCCTATCCAGTGCTTCCCCGTATCCCCATCCCAGGTGGATTCCCAAGTATTTGTTGACAGGTCCTTGGTCAGATGCTCGAAGAGAGGTTTGGAATTTCCCAGTGACTGGAGGCCAAGTTAGTTGTATCATGGGCCCTGTTGCATGTGTGAAATGAGGGCAAAGGGCTCTTCTATCTAGGATACGTGAGTATGCGTGAGATCATCGCAGAGCCTGGGTTTGTGAGAACTGGATTAAGATAGGCTCCCTGTAGTCATAGTCATCAGTCATCTACCCAGGCAGGTGTGCATTCTGTGTATGAGGCAGTGGGCCAGGTACATGGAGAAGCAGCTGAGGCAGTTGTCCCCTGCGGAGAACCTGCAAGCTTAGCAAGGAAGGAGCCATGACCAGATGGCGGGGTGATGGGGGGTTGCCTGGGGGCTTGTGGAAGCATGGGACAGGGGTGGGCTTGGAGGGGGCAAGCCAGGGGCCTTCTGCAGCGGGTGATGGCTCACTGAGTCTTAAAGGGCGGGTGGGCACCAGGGATGGGGCGGGAGTGGGGGTGCATTCGAAGGCATCATGAGCAGAATCAATGGCAGGACAGAAAAAGCCACAGACGCGGTGATTGGTGGTGGCTATGTGGTCTCCTCTCGTTCCTGCGAGAGGGCTGCTAATTCTGGCTGACAAGTCCACAAAGAAAGAGGGGAGGATATTTCTTTTATGACATTCCCAGTGTGGGATAGCATCCTTAGAAAGCTCTGTGCGGCACATGTAGGCAGAGTGAGCCGGTGTATGTGGCCTTGGGCAGGCTGGGAAGTCTGGATCTGGAAGTCTGCAGAGCCTGGCAGGTCGTAGGAGCTGAGCCATGGAGAGCGCCCCGGAAGGCAAGAGGGCCCAGCGCCTCGTGGCAGGGTAGCCCCAGGCCAGCGCTCTGGGACATGGTGGAGCTCCATGTTCTGTGGAGCGCCGGAGGGATTTAGTGTGGAACAGCGATGTGGTGATATTTGCTCTTCGATGATCACCCAGCCTTTCGGAGTTCCTCCCTCGCCACGTGTGGGCCATTCCTGTAACACTCTTTGGCCCGGAGCAGGATCCTGCCTCCCTGTGGGTTGTGGCCACGGTGGAGGTCTGCCCTCCCACCAGCCATCTCTGTCGCTTCTCTGGGAGAACACAGGGCGGGTGCCACAGTGTGTCATCAGCGTTTCACTGAGCCCTAAAGCCATCCCGTGGAGCAGGTGGCCCTGACCCATGTGTTACAGGTGAGGCATAACAGCTTGAGAGGTCAGGGTGGGTGTCCCAAGGCCACAAAAGGCTGGCAAAGCCGGGCCTCGGAAGCCAGCCTTTTGTGGCCGCCTTGTGATGTAGACCCCACACAGTGCTGCGCTGTAGCTCTGCCTGCACCCTGTCGTTTGTGAATTCGTCTGTACTTGCTAGCTCTTTCCTTGTGCCTGGCCTCTGCTCTCCGACCTCGTAGTCTGGAGGTCATGACCGTGGCATTAGACACATGCGTGGGCACCCCACGTCGTCCTACACAGCTGGGGTAGACAGGCCCGCTCGCAGGCACCAACCCCCAGGCCAGCGCGGGTGTCTGGTGGCCGGGGCTGCAGACACTGAGCAGGTGGTCAGAGGGGAATGGGAACCCAGTGGGCCTTCCTGTCGTTGGGCCTGAGGGGCGGCCCTGCAGGCCCAGGAATGCAGAGGTGGTGGCCTGGGCCCTCGGAGAGCCTCTGTGTGTGTCCCAGGGAGACTGGCGCTCTCATGCCCGGGTTCTGTCTTGCGTTTGTCTTTGGGAGGTGAGAGCCCCACGAGAGCCGTGAGTGGGCACCGTGCAGTCTGTGAAGGGCTTCCGTGGCGCACCTGGAGCCGGGCCTGGCCCCCACTTGGCCTGAGAGTCCCCACGCCGGCCCCGCGGGCTCCCCTGTTCCTGCTCTTCCGGTTTTCTCTGAAACTTTCTCCTCCCTCAGCTGCCCCTGCCCACTTCACCCTTTGAGGTCCTTCTCCTCTGGAAGACCCCATTTCCCCGGCCGGGCAGCCCTGCTCCCCTGTCTTCTAGCACGCAGGCCCTCCCTCCCCGGAGACGTTTTACGGTCAGTCACTCCAGGACGACTGCAAACTCACAGAGCGACAGATGAGGGGATGTTAGGGAATTTGCAGTTTTTACACTCGTGTCATGGCCCCTGGCTATGCTCTCGACTGCAGGTGGGGACTCTGAGCGGGGTCATCTGCGGACTTAGCCCCGGGCGCGGGGCTCTCTCTGGGCTCTTCCCCATCTCTGCAGGTGCGCGAGGCCAGTGTAGATGCTACCCTTGTGTCATCTGGACAGTTTCATCTCAGCCTGCCCTGGAACGTCCCCTCCGGCCCTGGGCCTGGGGCTTTGGTCCCCCCAGTCCGGTCCAGTCCAGTGTTCCTTGTAGCTCCGTCTTCTCTCTTCATTACCTGTCCCTGGCATGGGTCCTCAGTGCTGAAGGGGGGTGAGTCTTCCAGGCTTGGCCCCGTGTTCCCAGGTGCCCTCTGCCCTGGGCGCTCTTGGCGTGTCAGTTTGGGGCTACGAGGGCCCCCTGCTCGGCTTGCCCCTCCAGGTCTCAGCATACATTGTGTTTTGCAGCTCTACAAAGGAAGTAGGGTCAGCCCGTAGAGATTGGGTAGGAGTGCAGGGGAGGGGGTCAGGAATTTGCCTAAGGCAAAAGATTTAGTGTGATTTGACCAGAAGGGCTCGCAGCTGCCTTCCCCACAGACAGAAGCAGAGGGTGGAAGAGCCCCTTGCTCACCAGCGCTGCAGAGGAAGAGGGGTCTGTGAGCTCAGAGCTCCCTATCTGCTGTCGGAGGCATCACGTTACTCCCTGGGCCATTGCTAAGAGGTAGCAGAGGCGGACGTTCAAGATCCCTGGAGGCTTTCGGAGTTGGCCTTGGCTGTGGCTGTTCCCTTGGTCTTTTAAATGCCTTTAAATGCCTGAAGGATTTTCATCACAATCTGAGTAACCCTCTGAGAGGGTCCTTTTTGTCCCTCTGTGTTTCTTGGTGGCACCTGTCACCAGAGTCGCTAAGTATCATTTCACTGTTAGGGTGAGCAAAGCAAAAGCAGATGAGGCTGGTTTTGAAACTGCAGCTGTACAAAAGGTACAAAAACAGAGGACCAGAAGTGAACTCCAGCCATGGTGTTCGCACTCTCTCCACCCCTGCCACCCTAGGATAAGAGGCCTGGTTGGCCACCACCGCTCACCTGTGTCCCCCAGAGTGCGTGTGGCCTTGTGCCAGGAGTGCGCCAGCCATCAGTGGCTTCACCCCTGCTGCAGTGTGGGCATGTGGTCAGCTGCTCGCTCCCTGCCCCCTGAGGGCCACAGCCAAGACCTGGCATTTCTGGAGCTCCCTCCACACTTCGGAGGGATCACAGTCCCCTGTGACTGTCACTGGGGACCCCCTCTGGCAGGACCATCCCAGGCTCATGTCTTCTAGAAGTCAGTGGCAAGTGGTCCCTACACAGACAGCCTGAGAGCTTCTCCCAGAGACACACCCAGCAGCCAGGCCCAGGTTGGGTGGTGGTTCCCTTCTGCGAGCTGGACAGGCTGGGTGAAGGCAGGGAAGAGGGTGCATGAGCGCGCGGACCCTGACTCTGGGCATCTTCTTTTTCCTCCTGAGCAGTAAAAGCTGCACCATCGGGATGGTTCTCCGGCTGTGGAGCGACACGAAAATCCACCTTGATGGAGACGGGTAAGGAGATCTCTTTAAAAGATTCTTCTGGGGGCACCTGGGCGGCTCAGTAGGTTAAGCATCTGCCTTCCGCTCAGGTCCTGATGCCAAGGTCCTAGGATCGAGCCCCACATCGGTCTCCCCAATCAGTGGGGAGCCTTTTTCTCCACTCTCACCCACCTTGTGCTTTCTCTCTCTCTCAAATTAATAAGATCTTAAAAACAAACAAACAAAAAAACACTAGACGGTTCCTCCACTGTAGGCTTTGAAACCCGAGTTGGTTGGGCATCCTTGGATGATCCTGGGGAGCAGAGTCATCTGTGTGACGTGCTCATTACAGCAGGACAGGCGACATGCCCTCCCGTGCGCCGCACAAGGACGGGGATATTTGGGACATTATTTAAGGGAATTTGGGTCGTGAAGTATCAGCAGAAGAGCGTTTACGGGGGATGTGCTGCTGTGTGACGTTCCAGAGCGGCAGACAGCAGACCTCATTCATTCACCTTGATGTGTTAAATGAGCACTCAGTATGCGCCCTCCATGCGGAGCTGGTCGCTGTCAGTTCACGGTTGGAAAGGACGCGGTGGGAGCTCACAGCTGTGGGGGTGCAGGGAGAGACAAGCAGGTGGCAGGCGCCTCTGCAGAGGAGGAGCCCTTCCATGTGGCCTGGGCAGGTGGACAGGAGACAAAGAGCCACCCGGGTTCCGTGTGCATTTGCTTCCAGGGGAAATATGGGGCTTCTGCCGTGAGGGGGAAGTAGCTGAACACAGTTGTCCCTCCACTGAGATGCCAACAGTAAAAGTTATGTTGCCTCATACATAGACTCAGGGAAGAAAAATGAAAATGTGGTTTTTGTTTTGTTTTGAAGAGGCGGGATCACGGTTCTGGTTTGTTTCTGGGTTTTTGTTTTGTTTTGTTTTGTTTTCGCTTCGTCACATTTTGCCATCTGTGATTCTATTTCCCATGCAGTGACAAAAACGGGGTGTGTGGGGGCAGGCAGTAGCAGGGGGTGGGGACGGTGGCAGGAACCGGACCGAGATGGTGTCAGATGGTGGTGCTGCCTTTGCCAGGGTTTGTGTTTGTGATAGACCTTGCTGGTTACATAGCTGGGTTAGAAGCCAGTCTTCCAGACTGGAGAACATTTTTTGTTTCTGTTTTTGTTTTTTTACTTTTTTCCTGCTCTTGCCCTGTTTGATCCAGTGGGCCAGTATTCCCTGCTCAGAAAGCACCAGGATGTCCGCCGCGGCCCCGCCTGCTCACCTCGGGATGCTGTGGCCACAGAGTCTGATTCCTTACCAGGCCTCCTTTTTTTTGTTTGTTTTTGTTTTTGTTTTCCATCCCCAGGGGCTTCAGCGTCAGCACAGCAGGACGGATGCACGTCTTTAAGCCCGTATCCGTCCAGGCCATGTGGTAAGTGTGCTTTTAGGGACTTTTACCTCCTTAGCAATATCTTTTTAGCTGCCAACATGAATAGGAAAATCCCCTTCGACTTTGAAGCTCGTTCTGTGCATTTGTGTGTATGTGAGGCGGAATGCAGGTAAGATAAAGCGAACCCTATTAACCATTTCCTTAAGTGCGGTTCAGTACACATCAATGATGTGCAAAACTACACATTTCTAGAACTTTTTCGTCATCTCCCTCCCCCACCGCCCCAGCTATCTCCCTCCCCCACCGCCCCAGCCCTGGTTAACCTCTGTTCTACCTTCTGTCTCTACGAGTTTGCCTACTCCAGGTCCCTCCAGGAGCGGGGGCTCATCCCCGATGTGTCCCTGTGCGTCTGGCTTCTGTCACAGGTTGCAATGTTTTCAAGGTTTGTCCATCTTGTAGCATGTGTCAGAATCCTTTCAAAGGCTGAGTGTTACTCCGGTGTGTGGTTAGAGACTCTTTTTTTTGTGTGGCCCCATCAGCTGTCAGTGGACATTTGGGTTCTTTCCTCCTTTTGGCTGTTGTGCTCGGAGCTGCTGTGAATACGGGCGGATGGACAGTGTGTCTGTCGGAGTCCCTGTCTTCAGTTGTTTTGAGGACGTACCTAGAAGTGGAATTTCTAGAGCACGCGGTTAACTCTGTGTGTCGCTCTCTGGGGAACCAAAACTGTTTTCCGCAAACCAGGCTCTTCTCCCCATTTCACTGTCCTGCCGGCCGTGCACAGGGTTTGGTTTCTCCGTGTCCTTGCCGGCACCTGCTGGTGCGTGAGTCCTCATCTTCGCCCTCTTAACAGGTGTGAAGTGGCATCTTGTTAACGGTGCTGGTTTGTATTTTCCCGCCTGATGAGTACTGGGCTGTCTCTTCATATGCTTGTCGGCCCTTTGTACATCTTTTTTGGAGAAAAGTCTGTTCAGGTCCTTTTGCCAGTTTTTTCACTGGGTGGTTTTTTTGTTGTCGAAGGTATGCCGTTCTTAGTATCCACAGTTCCTGCTGTCCCCACTCCGTCCCTGTGTAAATCGTCCCTGTGTAAATACTCCTTATTCCTGGCACACGCTCGGTTTGTGCCCTGAAGGGAACGGCACCCTGCCAGGCACTGGGCATCCGGGAAGGCATACGACCGGACAATAATTGGTGTCCTCCTGGGTTTACACTCTGTAGAGGGGAGGTGGCCGTAACCTGCGCAGGGTCATGTGTCGGAGCAGGGAGTGCAGGGAGCATGTTCTCGCAGGGCTCCTCACTGCGGGTTGCGGGGAGCAGAGCCTGTGTGGGGGCGGGGGGGCCTCCTGCTTCAGGGATGCGGTAGCCGTGGGCAGAGGCTGCACTGGGGGAAACAGGTTGGGTCCGGGGCGTCTCCAGACCAGGCACACGCACCTGCGAGCCCCCCTCATCCTTGGACGGCCGCACAAACACCCCTGCAGCAAACCCAACACAACGGTCTCCGTCTCCAGCGATCTGGAAGAGGCTCGGGAGGGAGCTGGTGGCTGCTGAGGAGGGTTCTGCCCAGCGTTTCACAGTCACTACTTTGTTCTCTGGGACGGCGAGAGTTAGGCTGAATTCTCCCAGGGGCCAGTCGGTAGTCAGTATAGGGCCCCGCTGTCACCTCGTCTGCTGCTCCACACTGCCCTCCATTCAGTCTCCTTCTGGGGAAAATCACGAAATCCAAATGCCCGTGATGTCCCAGATGTTTCTTGCGTTCCCTGGATCATTTCTTACCTCTTTCTCTTCAGGCAAGTGAAAAACAGGCCCACAAGTTTTTCCAAAACTTTAGGAGCGAAGCTAAATTTAGTAAATATGCAGCTCGGGCCTGTGTCCTGAAGCAGCCTAGAGATAGGACAGACATGCCTGAGTAGGACACATGGAGCGGACGCAGGGGTGGGCCCTCCCCTGAGGACTCTCGCTCCCTCCGGGGCTTCCCACTCCCACCCTCCATCGAAGCCTTGGTTCACCCCCTTCACTGAGAAAGTTTCAGCCTAGATTTTTGTTAAAAAAAAAAAAAAAAAGACTAAGCTGTGTTACCATACACATTCTCCCCATTTTCCATATTGTTTCTTCTGCCCCACCCTTCCTTCCTGAACCTCTTTTTCATTTTGTCCTTGTGTTGATGTGAGTTCCTAGCACTCATTTCCCTAAGAGATCGAAGCATCAGAGCTGTTAGTAACGGTGATGGGCAAAGGTTATAAAGCAGGTTATTCAGAACGCAATAAAATGTGCAGCTCTTGAAAGACTCTTTCCTTCTACCCGCTGGGTGTTGCAGTGGTTCCCACGGCCTCAGAAGTAATCTGGGTTCTTGGGCATTCACTGGCGGAGTGGGAGATGGTCTGGGAGCTAGCCCAGGCGGGAAAGTTACAAGGTTTGCACCATGTCCTCACGGACCACAGTGAAGGATGTCTCATTGGCTCTTGGGTTTGCAGCATGTATCCCCGAGACGAGCTCCCGTTCCAGGCAGCCTGGAGGTTTCGGACTGCCTTGCTTCCTCCACGTAACCTTTTACATATGGCGACGCTCAGAGGGAGTCCTTGAGGGACCCCCCCCCACCCCACCCTCAACCCCCATTTGGAGGGAGAAGCCCAGGCCTGACCCTGTCCCCCCTCCTCACCCCAGGTCTGCCCTGCAGGTCCTTCACAAGGCCTGCGAAGTGGCGCGCAGACACAACTACTTCCCTGGCGGTGTGGCGCTCGTCTGGGCCACATACTACGAGAGCTGCATCAGCTCGGATCAGAGCTGCATCAATGAGTGGAACGCCATGCAGGACCTGGAGTCCACACGACCTGACTCCCCGGCCCTGTTTGTGGACAAGTAAGTGCGGCGCGGCCCGGTCCACGCCAGCCAGACCCTGAGTCTGCCCGAGGTCCCTCCCTCCTCCTCGGTAGTCCCAGGACCAGCATCCCGAGCTGGGGCTCCTCACCTGCCGCCCCCGGGTCGTCTGTGGCCTCAGGAAGGCTCCGTGACCCCTGTCCCACTTCTGAAATTAGAGTTGCATTTGGCCGTGATGCGTTTCTGGGGAACAGCTCCGTAACTCCCATCAGCTTCTCAAAGGAAAGCGCTGCTCACATGCTTTACCGGCTCCGGGGCCATGTTCTGTGGTCTGGCCTCTCTCTTTGTTCCGAGGAGTATTAGGTATCTGTCGTCCCGGGATCCCAGAATGCAACGGCACCGACACTGCCTGGGGACAGCCCTCCTCAGTGGCCCCAATAGTGAATTGGGGCCCATGTCAGGTGGCCCCCAGCAGAGCTCATGTGGCCTGAGGCTGCACTCACTGAGGGTCTGGGTCCAGAAGAAGGAAACAGCTCCCCTACCTTCTGTCTTAGTTAGGGCCCTCCTTCCCCCAAGTCATGGGTCCCTCTGGGACTGTGTTACAAGGGCCATGGACAGGGAGATTAGCCTGAATGAGGAGACGACCAGAAGCCACATTCTAGGAGGCCCCAAGTGGTGAGAGGGTCGGGGAGAATGACGGTTGCCTTTAAATATAGAAAAGGGCGTCCCGTGGAAGAATTGTTGTGGTTTGTGTAGAAGTAGGGCTGATGGGTAGACGTTACAGGGAAACACATAGATTCTCCGTGTAAGAAGGAGAGGAGTGGAGCCGGGCGAAGTGATACCCTCACACGCGGACACGTTCCAGTGGAGGCAGAAGGTCCGGTTGGTGGTGGGCGGACATGCCGCGGGTGCTTCCAGTGTCTCGTCCCGAGAACCTGAGTCTCTGCAGACCTGAGCGAGGACCGTGCTTTCCAGCCATAGCTCTCCATCCACTCGCCACTCTGGACTCCCATGGGGGTTCTAGACACAGGCCCGGACTCTTCTGTCCCTTTCCCCTCCTCCCAAAAACACGTGCACAAAGAACGTGGCTCTCGGAGCATCTGGTGTGTCTGTAAACGCGGACCTCAGGCTCCCTGTCCTTCTGCATCTTACTGGACGTACCTTCTTCCCAGGCCAACCGAAGGGGAAAGGACTGAGCGCGTCATCAGGGCCAAGCTCCGCAGCATCATGATGAGCCGGGATCTAGAAAACGTGACCTCGAAAGAAGTAAGAGAGCTCGTCCCTCAGCAGGCCAGAGGTCACAAGGTGTTCATGTGTCCTGTCGCTCTAAGCACAGCAGAGGGGCGGGCCTGCCACATGGCCTTCTCTGACTCTCAGAGGCTTTGTCCCCACAAGAGCCTTAGCATCCCACTCTAGTCTGGATCTCACTGTGCTCCATACCAGCTGTGGGGCCTTGAGCACATTTCCTGATCTCTCGGAACCTGTAAGACCTTTGGTGATAATTCCCCAAGGCACGCGCATTGCCCTGAGACACACTGGCCTACTAACACCCTCTCCTCTGCCTTGTGTTTTGTTGAGATACAGCAAACGCTTATTGCTTATTTCAGGATTCTCACTTACTAGCAAGTTACCAACCCTGGACTGCCTTCTGTGTGCCTTCAGATTTTTTTCTGGATCACTTTTTTCTTGTTTCAGTGGCTTTTTGTTCAAAGACCACAATGAATTATAATGTGTTTAAACTGGGTAAATTTGAGGGCTTGAAAGCGCAATTGAAAAAAAACATAGATTACCCTTTTTATTAATTAACACACATAAAAAATCATATTTGGGGGTAACCCTCTTGGGTCCCCTCCCTCTTTGGGAGCTTTGTCCTATCGCTCAGTAAGCTTTGCTTTGCTGCACACTGAAAACAAAAACGAAAAACTGGGATGCCTGGATGGCTCAGTCGGTTAAGTGGCTGCCTTCGCCGGCTCGGGTCGTGATCCCAGCGTCCTGGGATCGAGTTCCACATCGGGCTCCTTGCTCCTCAGGGAGCCTGCTTCTCCCTTTGTCTCTGCCTGCCACTCTGCCTGCCTATACTCTATCTCTCTGACAAATAAATAAGTAAAATCTTAAAAAAAAAAAAAAAAAAACTATCATATTGTGATGCCTGCTAAAGTAGGATAAAACTGACTTTATATATTCACTGTGATGTATTTGATATTTAATTGTAAAAATAGAAGTTCCTTAAACTCAGTAGTATAGATCCCGTGCAAATCAGCTTCTTCATATAAAATAATGAACTTCTCCCAGTCAGACTGACAGTGAGGCTGGGTAGCCTGCCTTCCCACCACCTGTGTTTGTGCTGTGTGCGTCTCAATGTGTATGTGCCAACTCGGGGGTAAAAAACAAAAAAACAAAAAAAAATGCCAAAACAACCAAACCTTTTTTGAAAACAGCCACAGTTTAAGTGGTAACATGACTTCTTTGGAATTGGACAACCCTTGTTTTGTTTTTTGACGAATCACTTTTCCTGCTGTTCTCCACTCCACAGATCCGTAATGAATTAGAGACGCAAATGAACTGTAACTTGAAAGAATTCAAGGAATTCATTGACAATGAGATGCTCCTTATCTTGGGACAGATGGACAAGCCCTCCCTCATCTTCGACCACCTTTATCTCGTAAGAAGCATGGTGCACAGCAGGGTCTGGTTTGGGGAGACATTGGTCTGCAGACTTTGGTGGGAGCTTGCCGCAGAGTCAGACAGGAAGAAACGCGTTGCTAGAACCCCATTCCTGGCTGTTCTGGGAACCCCAGTCTTCAGCTCCCTTCCTCTGGCCTGCACAGTTGCCCTCTGCCAGATGTCTGAGATGGGGCTCCCAGCTGAGCGGTGTGGAGTGGCGTGAAAGCTGTCTGGCATGGTCCACTGGCGGCAGTTTTCAGAATCTCTCCACCCTCGGTCTTCAGTCACTAGCACAAAGGCCCCGTCCAGTTACCACCACACGGTTTGCAGGCTAGTGCCCCCAGTTACTAAATGACACATGCTTGCCAAATCCCAGCATCACGCCTGGCATCACCGAAATGTAAGAAACAGTAGGCAAAACAGACCGAAACCGCAAAACTCAGTTTTTTCCCCTCTTTCTGTCCGGGCGGCGACTCCGTGCCCTGCTTCCGGGCCCACCGAAGGGACAGGCCCTGGGAGCCCCAAGCAGGGGCAGGTTGCGCAGCTTCCCCCCACCTCCATCTCTTGCTCGGATGCTCTTAATGCTGCAAATCTCCATAGAAGGCAACTGGCAAGTTCTCGGAGTCCCTCAGAGAGACTATAGAGGAGAGCGTGTTACTAAAATTAGAGAAGCAGTACAGTGTGATGAAAGTCAGACCCACCAGGGCCAAGTTCCCACTCCCCAGCCGAAGCAGCTGGGAGACGGGGAGCGAGCCTCTTTGCCTTTTCTCCCGCATTCTCTACCATGTGGGGTGGTTATGAGGATTAAGTAGAAGACGTTCTTAAAGCACCAAGGGCAGTTTCTGTAGGCACTGGTAAATGGCAACCATCGATACAGCAAAAATCACTTCCTGGGAAAGTGGAGGGTATGTGGAAAGTATGTGCTGCTGAAGGCAGGGCAAGTTTTGTTTTCTGCCCACAAGAATTAATGGTTCTTCAAATGCATGTGTCGTGATATATACTTAATACTAAATATATATATATATATATCTCAAATGTATAGGTATTTATGTATATATCAGTTCGTGTGTGTGTGTGTATTTAATGTTTATATTAAAACCTACATGAATGTGTGGATTTGAAGCCTTTCTGTATTTGGAAAGCTGTCAGGCAGCCCTGGGCTCTAATCTCCCCAGGAAGTTGGTGGTTTTTTCCTGGTGGAAGCAACAGAAGGCAGGCCATCTCTCCACTAGGTGGTGATCACAGCAAGAGGAAGCTCACAGATGTAGCAAGCTTTCGTTATTTTTTTTCAGTGAGGTTTGGTGCTTTATGTCACTTTTTCCATGAGAGATACTAAAGGAATTCTTATATTTGAGCCTCTCCCTCCAGCATGAAAATCCAGCTAGCACCCACACATTGCCAGCTCCACTGGGCCCCCTGGGGCTCCTGCATCCTGAGGGGTCTGCCCTCCTGGGAAAGGAAGTTTCTGCGGAGACTTAGAGGGGGGATCTGACTCTATGTCATTTGCATTGCCTGAGTGTGAAGTGATAGCTTTTTCTTTGTTTTGTTTTGTTTTTCCCCTTCTGTGTTCCTGGGAAGTCAGAAACGGGAGGGTTCGTTTTATAATACGCTTTCATAGGCATTACATTAAAATGTATTATGGAAGGTTCAGAAACACCAGTAATTCCAAAGAAGGAAGTAAAAAGCTTCCCCAATTTGGCAAATCTAGATGTCGTCACTGTTAACGTTTTAGTATATTTATTTTCCCATCTTCTGGGTTTTTTTCTTTTTATGTCTATATAGCTTCTTTAAAAAAAAAAAAAGAAAGAAAGAAAGGAAAGACTCATACTGTTTATATAGTTTTGTATCCTGTTTTCTTTTTTTAAATTGTTTTCATTATGCGGCATTTTCCTGTGTTGTTAAAGAGCCACCCAAAGTATGATTTTTTTTTTAATTGCCCCATCATGTGGCTTCATCATTTATTTTACTGATTTCTTCTTGTAGGACCTCTTAAGTTGTTCCCATTGTTTGTCCTCGCAAATAACCATAAATATCCTGGTGCATAAATCTATGTGCAAATTCCGGGTATTTCCTTAAGACAGCTGTTTGTATGGGGAACCACTGAGTCAGAGGGTGGGAACTTTTAAAAATACCCAGAAAGGTAGATCGACTTCTGCTTTAAATTAGTGGTGTGTGAAAGTGCCCCTCTCCTGAGCGGGAAGCCGGAGGTCACTGCTGCTGATGAGGGACCCTGCCGGAGCTGTAGGAAAGGACTCCGTGAGCGGGGGTACAGATTTCGTCTTTCCCCCAAGGCCTGGGGGCAGCCAGGGCCTTCCATGCAGGCTGATAGTGCCTGGAATGCCCCGGGAGCCTGCTTTGCTAGCCGTCTAAGGCCAAGGGCCCGTGACGTAACCCTCCCCCACCCAAGACTAGCCCACCCTGTGCCTCCCCTATGCAGCTCTGAGGCTGACACGTGACACTCACGGGGGTTTGTGTGATCTGTCCCCCAGGGCTCTGAATGGAATGCATCCAATCTGGAGGAACTGCAGGGCTCAGGGTGAGTCTGCTCCCCTCGTCTCCCCTTGTCCTTCCAGGCAGTAGAAACCCCCGAGGCTGAGCCCTTATAACCCATGGCCAAGGGCTGGGCTGGTGTGCATAGCTAAACAGATGTGCTTCAAAATGCCACCTCCTGAATATTTCATGGGTTTTAGATGTGTGATTGTGTGTGTCACCAAGAATGATTCACAGTCACACACCAGTGGCAGAGGACAGCCTGGATGCTGGTAGGGCCACAAGCCCCCTTCTGGGCCCCACTGCCCCCCGGCACAGGTGCTGGCAGGCCTAGTGTGGACACACACACACACACCGGTCTGGCCACTCAGCAGCTCTGGTCCCAGAACCACTCCTGGTTCTCCCGGACGTTCTACTTCGGGGCCTAGTGGGAATCTGGCGGCTGAAGACTCAGTCTTGGTCAGAAACATATGCCTGTCTCTTTCTGAGAAATGCCCAGCAGCAGGAATTAAGAGAAAAAAAAAACTTTAAATCTAGACCTTCAAGAACAGATGTCTGGACATTTTTTTTTAAACAACGCAGCCACAAAAATCACCATTCTGTGGGTCTGACATGATGGCATTCTTGAATTACTGCATTTAAAAATCAAGACTAAACAAATCTTAAAATATATCTTTAGAACTACTGGTTAAGATGTGTTCTTTCAACGGGAAGTTTTCTTAAAATGTAGAGTGATACTATCGATGCTTTCTCGGGCTGGGAATGAATAAATGATTTTTTAACGTATTTTGTAAAGCACTTGTAAATATTCTCATAGAAACCCTATCTGAGGTATCTTCTAACTCCTGAAGTTATTTTGGTCTTCTGGGAATGTATCCGGTTTAGAGAACCTGCTCTCGGAGACCCACCCCACCATTTACTTATTTATTTGTACTCTGCCTTGTTTTGAGAGGATTTAAGGCAATTCTCAAGGACATAAATAATGGATGGATATATTCTCTTTTAGCTCTTTGTTTTTTTAAAGCCTCTATCTATTCATAACGGGAAGTTTGAAAATTTGAGAATGTCTGAAAATGTATCTAAGTAATACATATGTCTGCTTTCCAGAATTCCCATTGCTTTGAACTTTCTTTTTGTAAGTTTTTTTTTTTACAAAGAAATTTGTTCTTTATTAGAATACATTCTCACCATATAGAGAGGAAAAAAAAAAATTCCTATTTAAGGAAGAAAGTCCCACCATAAACATACACACTTTACAAGTGTGTACTTAATTTTTTCTTTGCTCAGTTTTCTGTTACTTTGGGGTTTTTTTTTTTTTGTCATTCCTCATTCTGATTCTCCAAATTTGTTCTTTATTTTTTTCTCATTACAGTGTGGACTACATTCTAAATGTCACCAGGGAAATAGATAATTTTTTTCCTGGCTTATTTGCATATCATAACATCCGAGTCTATGACGAAGAGACAACAGACCTTCTTGCCCACTGGAATGAAGCGTACCATTTCATAAACAAAGCAAAGTAAGTGGGCGGAGAAGCCCAAGAAGCTGGTTTGAAGAAGTAACTGGCAGATGCTGGGTGGGCAGAAATTGATGGCAGTCCCAGACACAGACATCTCTGGTTTGTGGAGCCTTTGATATCTGGTAGGCCTCTGGTTTTAGACCACAGGACCCCTAGCACCAAAAAGGCACAGTCATTGATCTTCTCAGGTTGGGGACCCAATGAGCCTTTGTTTCCCCCATCATCGATTGGGACATCAGACCCCACTTCTGTCATCAGCACTGCTTCCAGGCAAGGGTCTCATATCCAGTAGACATTCATGGGAGCTCTGTCTATGGGGAGTCGCTGAGCCAAAGGAGGGGGGTGGGCAGGTCGTGCATGGACTGTGAGCACCTTTGGGGCTGCTTCACCAGAGAAAGCTGCTCAGGCAGGAGCCTGGAGGGAGGGCCCGCCTTCTGCACCTGAGTTGATTCAGTTTTCCTGTTCATAGAATGGGGCAGACCGTCAGAGGTCCCCGTTGCTGTGAGCCTGTTACTGGCATCACCTGTTTTTTGTCTTCCCCTTATTCTCCTCTGGAACAACTCTGCCTTACTGAAGTCCAGAATACAGAGACAGCCCTTTGCTATGGAGAGAAACCCCGTCTTCTGCTTTGTAATCCCTTAAGGTCAAAGCTCCGTAACATGTCCTTACCGAATCTTAGTTTGTTTGCATTCCTGGGGGGATAGATTCCAGACCAGCAGTCAAACAAAAAAACAAAAACAAAACAAAATGCACTGACAGATGGGGATGAATTTGAAGCCTGTGGTCTAGGAAAGGGGCCCAGACCCACCTGACAGGCCAGCTGCTTCCAGTATAAACAGACAGGCTGGTGGGTCTACCTCCTATACAAATAAAGCTGTCCCGGTGCAGCCCCTTCCAGCATCGTGTACCCTCCCATTTTCAAGCCGATGAGGTCTGGAGAAACACAACCTTGCCATTTCTGTGCAGTCAGTCCTGCCCAGGCCAGAACCGCCTCCTTACAAATGACCAGCCCACCTGCCTTCTTCCCCTCATCCAAGTCCAGGGTGCCACCGTCTTCGCTCTGGCTCCTCACCCCTACCTTTGTGGCGAACATCTTGCCCTCCCAAGGGCCTCGTGGCCTTCCACTTGCTGGCCCCGTTTTCTCTGCAGTCACCCGTTCCCCATCTCCATCTGCTGGGGCAGCTGGGGAGCTTTTACAGATGCCCCTTGCACTGCCCCTTTGCTTCCTGCAAAAGAGTTTCTGGTCTCCTGGCCCATCCTAGCGATCCTGCTTTGTCCCTGAGGGCGGCTGATCTGGGAGCTCTCCCAGCACAACTTGGCAAGGCAAGGACTGATTTATCTCGATTTCCCATTGTGTGCTAATTGATTTTGCAGTGAAGTTATTTCCTTTTGAGGGTGTGTGGCCATCTGCTGCCTCAATATCAGGACATGGCAGGGGTGGGGTCTGGGCACGGAGATAACTTCAGCATTTAAAGGAAAGAAAAAAACACTGGGTAAAACCTGAGAGAGTGAAATCGTGAATGTTTTGGGACCCTCTCCCCTGCTTCTGCAGGAGGAACCGTTCCAAGTGCCTGGTACATTGCAAAATGGGTGTCAGCCGATCTGCCTCCACGGTCATAGCCTATGCAATGAAGGAATTTGGCTGGCCTCTGGAAAAAGCGTACAACTACGTGAAGCAGAAGCGCAGCATTACACGGCCCAACGCAGGCTTCATGAGGCAGCTGTCTGAGTATGAAGGCATCTTGGACGCGAGGTGGGTGAGCGTCTGCGGGACGGGTTGGCAGAACCCACTGGGCTCCCGTCCGGCCTGGCAGTGGCCTCTGCAGCTAAAATCCCGCCTCTGGTCAGGGAGGGGGGTGTAGTGGGGAGGAGCCAGGCTGAGAAAAACAACTATTGTTTGGGGTTTGATTCGTGGTTTCCAGGAGGGATCTGTTTGATTTTGTTGGCATGCAGAGAAAGCTGTTTTGCTGCTGGAGGGAACGGTGTACGGCTTCTCATCCAAGGCATGACGTCATGGGTGGCGCAGGCACGCGGCTGTCCCCGTTTCCTCAGCATCTGCTTTGTGCCTGCCAAGCCCTGGGCCGGGTCTTGCCACAGGGCAGGTCCGAGGATGGCAGGGCGGACTGGCTTCCGGCACTGATGAGCTGGGCCGCATCGGGCAAGCTTGCCCATCTCCCCCAGTCCTGGTTTCCCCTTCTGAGTTTGCAGCCCAAGCCCACCTGGTAGGGAAAGCTGTTGTGAGATTTACCTGAGGACTGCACAGGTTGACCTCTGCAGATGCCGTGCTAGAGGTGGCTTGTGGTGAATAAAACGGAGCTTTGGAAATCTCCAACCCCCACCTAGAAAAGGTCTGCCAAGGACAGGTTATCCCGGGCGTACAGGGGAATGAAGAATGGACGCTGGAGGTTAGCATGCCCCATGTCACAAAGCCTGCCCCATGTCACAAAGCCTGCTGGCAGCACAAGGGAGAGGGCACAGTCAGGTCTGCTGGCCCCCACGGCTCTGGTGCAGGGAGGCCGCATGGAGGCGGGTTCCACCCAGACACTGGGACTCTTTTCTCCCTGGATGATTTCTCACTGGTGTTAGGACGAGGCCACAGGCACAGTCCATGGGCTTCTTGGCCAAGTGTGAGCAAGCAGGGGTGCCCTGGCAGGGTGGAACAGGGTTTGAGAATTGCTCTGGACATCTCTGGAGTCCCTTTCCTGTCACCCAGGGAGCGGCTGGACAGATCCCCAGGCAGGGCCCCTGGACGAGGGGAGGCGGAGGAGGGTGGGGAGGAGGCGGGGGCATCCTGCCCTCCTTTCCCTTAGCTCTTCAGACCCTTGCTGCCATTAGGGGTTTGCCGCCTCACAGCCTCATCAGGGGTCTTCAGGATGGGGGCACAACTACAACGCACTGACCTTGACTTGAAACCCCATCTTGGGGCCCTCTTGGCCTTGCCTGGAATGGGCACATAGAGCGGACTCGACAGGTTGTGGTGCTCCCATATGTTTCAAAACAACAGCAGGCCCCCCCTTTTCTTTCTTTCTTTTTTTTTTTTAAGATATTATTTATTTATTTAATAGAAAGATACACAGTGAGAGAGGGAACACAAGCACGGGGAGTGGGAGAGGGAGAAGCAGGCTTCCTGCCAAGCAGGGAGCCCGATGCGGGGCTCGATCCCAGAACCCTGAGATCATGACCTGAGCTCAAGGCAGATGCTTAACAACTGAGGCACCCCTAAAAACAACGGCAGGCCCTTAATCCACATCCTTTCCCAGCTCCTGCTCCCATCATAGCCCACACACCTGCAGGATGTTGGTACTGGTGCCCCAAGGGTCCTGGAGGTGACTTATGTGCCTGAGTCCACGTTACAATTTTTTTTTTTTGAACCTTACATTAAAAATATGTTATAACCAGGGGCACCTGGGTGGCTTAGCGGGTTAAAGGCTCTGCTTTCGGCTTGGGTCATGATCCCAGGGTCCTGGGATCGAGCCCCACGTCAGGCTTTCTGCTCAGCGGGGAGCCTGCTTCCACCTCTCTCCCTCTGCCAGCCTCTCTGCCTACTTGTGAATCTCTGTCTGTCAATAAATAAATAAAACCTTTTTAAAAAAGATACGTCATAACCATACTACCATGGTATCATGAGACCTGTTTTTTAAAAGCTATCTGTCTAGACCAGTCACGTGTCTGCCCTGTGGTCGTTGCGTGGCAGAGTCACTGAGGGCTTCCGCCAGGAGCCGTGCGGGTTGAGGTTCCGAGGCTATTTCTGTCAGCCCTGAGCTGTCTCTTGCTGGCCCAGCCCCGGGCACTCCTCCTGGGACCCTCAGGGCACCACCCTCCCATGACCTTCCTCTGCTCTTCCTCCCCCACAGCAAACAACGGCACAACAAGTTGTGGCGCCAGCAGAGCGAGACCTGCCTCCAGCAGCCGTTGGATGGCCCAGCAGGGTCTGGGGACTTTTTGCCGGAGACTTTGGACGGCGCCCCGGAGGCCCGGCTGCCCTGCCTGGACGATGCTGCCCAGCCCGGCTTCCCAGACAGCGGCACTCCAGGGGGACCCACTCTCCCCTGCTGCTTCCGGCGGCTCTCAGACCCCCTCCTGCATTCCCCCAGCGACGAAACTGGCAGCCTGGTCCACCTGGAGGATCTGGAGAGGGATGCCCTTTTGGAGGAACCAGCCGAGCCGGCCGAGGCACACACACCAGCCAGACATCCCCAGGAAGCTTCTGGACTCTGCGAGAAGGAAGTGAAGAAGAAGCTGGAGTTTGGGAGCCCCAAGGTCCTGAGTGGCTCCTCGCCGCAGGTGGAGGAGATGGAAGGGGAGGAGGTCCCGGGAGCAGGGCAGTGGGGACGGCCCCCACCCCAGCTCGAGAAAAGCCTGCTCAACCGGGAGAACCTTAACAACAACAACAGCAAGAGGAGCTGCCCAGAGGACTTCGAGGTGGGCAGCGGGGTGGCGTGGAGGGCAGCGGGCATTACCGGAGCGTGGCTGCAGGTGCCTGGAAGTGCAGGCGCACTGTGGAGCCGGGCTGTGTGGGACCGGCGCTCCTCCCTGCAGGTCTTCTCCCCCACTGCTTTCCCCCACCCCATGCGCCTCAATCATGGCTCAGGCAGAGCTTCCGACTCAATATCCTTCTTACGTAAAATGTAAAGCAAGACTTACTACCCAGCTTCAGCATTTATCAACCCGAGGCTGTACCGCGCCCCACTCGATTTCCCACACTCTGAATCATCTTGAGCCAAACCCCAGCTGGGTTGCTCCATGCACAGAAGCTTCAGTGAGTGACATAACCACAGTCCACCCTGAAGAAGTTGATGTAATTGCTCAGTATCCTCAAATAGCTGCTCTTCCTGCTCCTGCTCTAATGCTTGACTCTCTGAGTCCCAAGTGGCTATCCTGTTTGGTGGGTTTCTGCAGCAAGGTCCTAGCAAGCCGGCCCTTGCTCAGAAAATCACTAATTCTGCCAGCCTTTCCTCTCCTCCGAGTGGCCTGGGAGCCGAGGCTGGTGTCCTGAGCTGCCCACCTCCCGGGTCCCACCCTTACTCTGCACCAGCTCTTGCCACAACTGGGGCCAAGGAGCTCCGTTCCCTCCCGCCCTCCCTGTCCATCTTCTGAGACAGCCGTGATTCACACGTAAGACCCCTCAGAAATGCGTTCCCATATCCAGAGGGTTTGTCTTTCCCATGTTCTAATACAAGCGAAATGGGAAGTCCCCTCTACCGACCTCCAGACTGAATGTTAATTACTCATGAATTTCTCCCACTCAAAGAGCAAATATACATAAAGACAGATGATACAAAACATCTGTCCGGGATGGTGATGTGTCCATCAGTCTGAAATGGCACCGAGTGGGTGGCAGGATGCAGAGCAGGAGAAGCGTGGGTAAGAAGGTACATAAAGGACAGCCTGCCTTTACTGGCCAGAGCTGGATTGAATGAATGGGTGAGGTTCTCCAGGGAATAGGACCCAGAGACAAGCACTCATTCATTTGTTCAAATCTTATTTGCTAACTAAGGTGCCAGGTTGGTGAGGGCTTCCGCTGCAAGGGGACCACGCTTCCTCTCCCCTCGCCGCTTAGCACCTGCTTAGCGGTCTCAGTGGAGGTCCAGCTCCTCAGAGAAGCCTTCCCTCTGCGGAGCACTTTGAGCTCACCCCTCTCCATCCTGACACATGTCACTCAGTTTGCTGGTTCACATGCAACCCTCTGAGGGCAGGGACTGTCTTTGTCTTCTTCGAAGCCCCTGTGCCTGACCCAACTCCTGACACGTGACAGGCGCTCCCTAAATATGAGTCGGATGGGAGAATTTGCTCCTGCCCTGTTGCCCCCTGGGCTCTGAAAGGTGGTCTTCAATCTCCTACCAGGGGACGTTCCGCCGTGTTTTAGAATAGTTCTAAAGGTTTTAGGAGAAAACTTTGGTCAGAGCTTCGGGAAAATTTCTGGGTCAAGAGTTCAGGTCTCACCGGTTGAGGTGGAAGCCGGCCCCAGGAATCCTGATTCTACAGGAAATCCAGCCTCCCACCTCCCCAACCACACGCTCTCCGTGTGCCCCCCTGCAGCCTCTAGGAATCCTGCCTGGATTTCTTTACGATTCCTCCAGTGTGGGACCACCCCAGGACGTCTTACCTTGGGGGACTTACGTCTGTGAGACGGGATGGGACTAGGCCCTGACAGTCAGGGCCGTGGGCAGGGGGCAGGGAGAAGCATGGGCCAGCAGCCCTTTGCCAGGAGGCCTTTGTTTTAGGCCAGCTTGGGAATCTCATAGCTAAACCGCTATCTGCCTCAGCCCTTAGGACCCTGTTGTCTGTCGATGGGCGGGTGAGGGAGGTGTGAGCAGTTGTCCTGCCTTTGGAAGGGTCCAAGGTGGAGGCGCACATCACATTCGCCTAGAGGGAGATGGCTTTCCTCAGAAAACAGTGCCGACATGTTCCCCATTGGTAATAAAACCCACCTCAGCCTGGCGCCCTCATCCGGGACTGTGAGCACCTGTGCTTGGGTCTGTACCAGTTTTTGCCTTCGACCACCTCACTCTGAAGACCACAGCCAATGGCTGGATGGTGGCTCTTTGGAGCCACACTGTGTTCATGCTAGAAGGGAAGAGCCCTGTTTCCAGACTACATATTCCCTAAGCATAGATTCTTTCTAAAAGGGAAAGGAAGGGAGAGGCGTGCAATGGTGAAGATGGGTTTGAGAGGGCTCTGCTCCTGACCATGCTGTGCTGGTTGTATGGCCGGAGATTTGCCCAGGATCGTAGTCCCGTAGCCTCTGGAAAGTTGGGTTCAGCCCTGTAACCACCACTGTTCATGCCCAGGTGGGTTCCAAGAGGCCTGCGTTCCTGCACTAACTGAACGAGGGGCACTGCCTCTGCAGTGCCTACCCTGCCCCACTCCAGCCCCTCCTCGTATTTTGTGGCCTCTGGCTCGCTGTTGTATACTCATGATGTTCTTATCCCCTTTCAGCACGATGCTATATTTGGGATCCTTAACAAGGTGAAGCCTTCCTACAAGTCATGTGCTGACTGCGTGTACCCTATAGCCAGCGGGACTCCCGAGGCCTTCAGGGAGCGGAGTGAGAACCCCGGAGCTCCTGCCATCTGTACCCAGCCAACCTTCCTGCCGCACCTCACATCCTCCCCTGTGGCCCACACGTCCAGCAGGTCCCGAGCTTTAGAGAAACTGGCCTCTGGCCCCAGCGAAAGTCCCCCATTCCTACCACCAGCAGGCTCAAGGAAGTCAGACATCGGTGGCTCCGGGGCCGCAGCTGCTCCAGAACTACCAGCTAGCCTTCTGGAACCTTCCAGAGAAACCCAAAAAGTCCTGCCAAAGTCCCTCCTTTTGAAGAATTCTCACTGTGATAAGAACCCTCCAAGCATGGACGTAACGAAGGATGACTCACAACCCAAGAAAGACCCGAAACCGGCCAAGGACCTGCGGCTTCTGTTCAGCAAAGAAGCTGATAAGCCGACAAGTAACAGCTACCTGATGCAACACCAGGAATCCATCATTCAGCTGCAGAAGGCGGGCTTGGTCCGAAAGCACACCAAAGAACTGGAGAGGCTGAAGGGCACGCTCGCAGACCCTGTGTCTCCCTGCAGGGATGGCCCCGCCAGCAGGCTAGAAGCCAGCATCCCCGAGGAGAACCCTGATCTGGCTCCTGTCCCGCCGCTGGGGCCCCCAGCTCTGCCCAGCCTCTCGGGGAGCAATGAGAAGTCAGAGGCCATCCCCACTCCATTCGAAGTCGCCCCACCCAAGAGCCCCAGTCCCTTCCTCTGCCGCCTGGATCACGCCAGTCACTTCTCAAAAGACTTCCTAAAGACCATCTGTTACACTCCCACGTCGTCCTCCATGAGCTCCAACCTGACGCGGAGCTCCAGCAGCGACAGCATCCACAGCGTCCGAGGCAAGCCGGGCCTGGTGAAGCAGCGGACGCAGGAGATCGAGACCCGGCTCCGGCTGGCGGGCCTCACCGTCTCATCCCCACTGAAACGCTCACACTCTCTGGCCAAGCTTGGAAGTCTCAACTTCTCAACAGAGGACCTGTCCGGTGAGCCAGATGCGTCCACCCTCACCGACTCCCGGGACGCCCAGTCGAGCGAGTCTTCCTTCTTGCGTGAGCCCCAGGCACCCCCAGGGAACCCAGCTGTGACCTCTCGGCCATCAGGGAAACCTGCTTCAGAACACTTGAGAAGCCCCTCGTGGACGAGCAGAAGCTGACCGGCCTCTTGCTGTTTTTACTCAGACGTGCGTTTCCACCGGTTCCTCCCTGTGTCTCACTGTGGGTTTCGGCCGTGATGTCTCCTAAACAAGTGACATTCTAACTCTTCCCACTCTCTCTGCAGAGAGGAGGAGAGGAAAGAGAAGAACCCAGCACAAGGAGAAGGGGGGGGTGCCAGTCAGGTGGCCCGGGAGAGCCAGAAGCCATCGGCCAGTAGATAAAGAACTCTGCTCCCCAAGCCCTGTGTTTTCAGGAAGAATCCTGTTTTTAAAAAGAGCATACACAGACATGCACACACTCCCCGAACACTGCGTATGCACCATGAAGGCTACACGACCACGGCGCATGTTCCTAGCTCATTCAGGCCCTCACGGGGAAGCCCTTGGATGGCAGTATGAAGTCCTACCTCTGTTCTTGCTGTGCTTTTTATTTTTTAAAATATAGTCGTGACCAAGGCTCTTTCCAGGGAATAATGCTGTGTCAGAAAAGGTTTTTCCAAAAGAGATTTTTTTTTTAATTCTTATTTTTTCGGTGGGGACCCCCCAAAAAAGTCCTAAGTTGACTACATGCAACACCGCTAGGTAAAGTCAGAACAGGCTGTCGAATGCTGTCGTTGGACCGACCCTGTGGTGCGTGGAGATGATCAGTGCAGCTGAATTCCTTGTCCTGGTGTGTGGTCCCAGCAGAGTGGTGTGCGTCCGGCCAGTACTGGGGTGAGGGGGGGATGTGTATATGTGACGTCCTCAGTCATTGCTAATGGTGACATGTAAGTTGCCCCCAGTCTGGGGAGAAGGACCCAGGGAGCATCACTGCGTCTCCTCTGCTGCTGAACCTGATGTGGTTGCCTTGAGGCTTTGAGAGAGCTCGAGTGTATGTGGCGGGGGTGGTGGGTCTAAGACCGGGATTGTCCTGCCAGGAGCCCTTGGGCCCATGAGGTCACAGGAGCAGGTTCAGGGAGGAAAGGGGGCTCTAAGCAGTCGTGAGCCGCTCTGCTGGCCCCTCTCTAGGAACAGCCCTGCCACAGCTTCTCGGAGAAATGAGACCATTGAAAAGCTTCATAGATGTTTACAGTCGCCGCTTCCTTTGATGAGGTACTGCTCCGTCTCTCTCGCCCTTCCTGGCGGTGAGGACAGAGTGGAAGAGGGCTCTGTACTCCTGGCTGGGGCTCTGGGAGGCCCCTTTCAGAATCAGGTGAGCTGCGCCCATCACATAGCCACGGGCTCCGGGCGTGGATGGAGGGAGTCCGCTGGTGTTGGTCAGTAAGACAGGCTGTTGAAAGTATTTTGGAGAAAGAGAGAGAAAAAAATAAAAGATGCTTGGTAGTAAGACAGAAAGGTTTCATCCAGGGAGTCCGCAAACTCTAGTAACGGACCCTTGAGCTAAGAAGCTTTTATGTTTTTAAGGGCTTGTTAAAAACAACAATCTAATATGCAGCAGGGACCGTGTAGCCTGCACAGGCTGAGATACTCCTGATCCAGCCCTTTAGAGAAAAGGTTCGCTGACCCTTGGTTCCACAACACAGGGCTGCCCAAGGCCCTCCAGAAAGAAACTGCCAAATTCGAAGGCCTGCCCTGGCCCTTGGACACCTGAGGCCCAGGCCTTGTCTTCTCCCGACCCAGACCTTGCCCGCCCAACCCCCATGTGCTGTCCCGCAGGGTAGGGGTAGGCCCGGAGGTGCGGGGTGCTGCCGGCCGATAGTTGCCCAAAGTATAGTGTGCACTGAGCTGTCCGCTGGATTTATTCAGTCAAACTAGAAGCCTTTGGCGCCGACCACGCTCAGAAAGTGGCCGAAGGAGCTGCCATCTCGGATCTTACAGTGGTCAGATCTGGGTTAGGGTTAGGGCACCATAGGCAGGGTTTTCAGGGACGAGGGCAGACAGGGGGGTGGTCCACATTTCAGCTAGTGGGTGGAGTTTGTGCAGAAACACTCTCTCCAGGAACTTTTCCTCCCCAATGTTGTTGGTTTTTGTTTTGTTTTGTTTTTTAAATCATAATGTTATTTGATAGGAATTTGTTTTCCCACCCCTGTCATTCGAAATCAGCTTAAAGGGTGATTATCTACTACTTCCTAGAAACCCTGTTGGGTTCCCCTTCCACTCCCTGCCCCCGGCCAAAAGAAACATCATTCTCAAAAAATGTAACCGAGTTCAGTATATGTTTTGCCAAATGAAACTTTGCATTGTGGCTCCATTTTTGTGTCAAACGATCCTTTAGATTTGATGCTTGACAGGCTTATGTTGCTCTTCTAACCTCACGTGTCTGGTGTGTGGGAACAATATATTTTTGCAAACTTTAATTTTGAAAGCGTAGAAGGAGAATTACAAATTTGAGCAAGTCTTTGGCTTTTGGCGACCCTGTTGTTTGCACAAGCAGGGCTTGTATGTCAGGTCTACACAGACCAGGGCCCAGGGCCCCATCATCAAAGCTAAATAGGGGCGTTCTTGATTGGATGGCTAGCACTCTGGCCCGGAGGAAAGGATATGGACTTTTCTCCAAGACCCACATCACCAAGAGCTCTCTTCCAGGCTCAGGGGCACCCTGGCAAACAGACTCACGCTGACCTTTGAAAAGAAAGCCTGTGCTGTAAGCTACGCCACATCTTGACCAGCGTTCCATCCGTCTGGGATCTTGCTGCTGGCGAACTTGCTGCTGGTGCTGAACGTGGGCGGCCCACGCGGGAGGCAGGGAGTTTCTGCTGTGAAAGTCATTGATCCTGATGACCACCATCTTCAGGGAATGCCCTTGTTAAAAAAGAGAACAGGAGTTTTCCAGATCTGCTGGATGATCTCCCTGAGTCTTGAACTGCCTCTCTTGTACCGCCTCGCCTCTGTCTGTCTCACTGTACTTGTGCAACACGCTGCAAGTTAGACTCAACCTCCCTAGATCTTCAACTTGCTTCGATCCGGGTGGGGTGGGGGCTGCTGCTCGTCAAGCTTTGTTACGTATGAGGGGGGAACCTGGATCTGGGGAGAGGAGGAACCACACTGCCCTCTGATCATGATTCGATAACGCCCATTCCGGTTTCTTTGCCTTGGAGCTACTTCTGGGGGTTGGAGCGATGGTCACCGCTGAAGAACTTCAGCACAAGGCTTCTTGCTCTTGGCATTCCCTGTTTCTATCTTCGAGGGGACCCATGCTGACCTTTGGGTGCCGAACAGCGCGCTCCTGGGCAGTGACACCCGTTTGTCATGTGTGAGATCACTCACCAGCTGCTCACGGTGGCCGCACCGTCCAGCCTTCCCTTCTGTGACCCCCAACCCCTCTAGCCAAAAACCACTCCATCTCATTAGAAAGCCTTTTCTCTCCTGCATAAGCCCAGGGGATGCCACAGGGTGGAGCCAAAGTCGCAATAGAATTAGCATCTCGAGGCCGGCCCTGTCCTTGGGCGCTCTTGTCTCCACACGGGCCAGAACCCAGAAGGTTCAGGACTCCCCCTACTCCCCTGGGACCATTTCTCCCCAGTGAGAAGAAGTGATGCATCATTTAGGCAAGGTCACACAAACGACCTTATCCAGGGTGTCTGAAGAAAGATGTGCTCTCTGTTGACCAGAAACGCTTTGTTCCAGAATACTTTCCACCCAGCCCTCCTCTGGCTGGCCACCTAGCAGAGCTTCCCCCAACCCAGTGAGGGCAACCACTTGACCTCTGGCAGGAGAGCTAGGCAGGACAAGAAATTGGTGATGCTGGGCACAGTGAGGGTGCACCCGCCCCACTCCCGTCCTGCAGGCTCTTGCCAGCGCTGCATGCCAAACAAAGGGAGTTGGTTGACACCCCCTCCCCGTGCTCACTACTTGGTCTTTTCGTTGTGTGCCCTGCAGCTGAACATCTATGTGTATGAACTCACTCTGCATACATATGCGCATAATATATATGCACATATATATATGCAACTTGAAGCAGACCATCTCGTGGGCCACTTGTCTCCCATCCACACACACACTGTGTCCCCCGAGTACAAAGTGGGATCACCTTGACGGATGTGGAGTGGGGCCATGTGCAGCACTACTCTCCATAGACCTGGACATTGACCACCCCCACAAACACACACCCTTTTGTCTAGCCCCGGGCCCTGGCTTCAGTCCGTCTTTGCCACAGGAGTCTACAACCAGCCCTCCAGTCCCTCGGCTGTCCTTTGTGTTGGCCTTGCCGCACAAGAAGGTGGCTGCTTCCTCCCTCCTTTTTCCGACACTGTAATTATTGTTTTACAATTGAGTGCCTTAATAATAGTTTACAAATACTGTGTATTTATGGGAAACTGGTAAGCTCACACCTTCTGTGACTGGGCCTTTGCCTTGGCGGTGGTGGTTGGCGTGAGGGCTGGAGCTTGCCCTACCCCGTGCTTGTGCTCATCTGCTGTGCAGTCCTATGCAGGGGGTGGAGGGGTCCTCCCCACCCTACCACTGTCCAAGGAGCATTGGCGGTTCCTGCAGGCGAGGCTGGCACTGGCTCACCGTGTGTCCCGCAGTAGCAAGGAAAGCACAGAATTTGGTTCGATAGCCAGCCAGGGGGTGGCACCGTCCCCCTTCCCCCTCATCGCACAATTGTGCTCTTTAAATAGAGATGTGTTACCACCTAGGCCTCCCTGTGTTTCCTCCTCTGCTGGTGTCCTGAGCTCACTGCCACCAAATGTGGGGACAGACACCAGCCCCTGCAAAATGAGGAGCTAAGATAAGTTCTTTGGTTTTCAGAAGCTGCCAGTGGGTTCCAGTGTGTTGCATTAAGATATTGATGATTTTTTTAATTCTATTTTTCTTCGTGTTTTTTTATATTATATATTTAAAAGGCAGTATCTTTTGTACTGTGAATTTGCAGTAGAAGATGCATAATGCACTTTTTTTTTAACTTCTGTTGGTGTGTACTGTAATAGTCTGTGTGCTTCTTGTGATGAAAATAAACTTGTTCTTTATAAACGTCTGACGGCGTGTGAACTCGTGCAAAAGGAAGCTGCTGCTTCAGTCGTTGCCAAGACAGTCAACATACCCGCGCCATCCTGACAGCCAGTCTTTACTGAGCACCTGCCTTGTGCTAAGCCCCATGGTATAAAAACCCAGATACATTAGACGGAAGAAAGAACAAAAGAAGCCAATGTTAACTCCTCCAGGAATGGTCTTGTTTTTCCTCCCAATTTGATGAGTAAGGAAGCAGGCCTGATTGTGGGTGGTCATTTGGATACCCAAAAAACCTGTCCCTGCCAGGGTGGGACTTGGGCTCTGGGTGGGCACCTCTTACACGAAAGCAGAAAGCTAGAGTGTGTTCAACACCACCGCCTGAGCTAGTCCAGCCACAGGTTGTGGGAGAGGAGACTGTGGAGGCTAATGATTCTGGAGGCCAAGGCAGGAATCCCAGGGACCCTCAGTTGCTGCCCACAACAAAGGCTTCTCTCGTGCCCAGGCCCCAGTGCACTGCAGGTCAGGACCTTTTGGGGACACTCCTCCTTTGGGGACTCACGAAGCTGAGCTACTCTCATTTTTCTGTTTTTTTTTTTTTAATTTTTATTTTTATTATTATTATTATTACTCCTACTCTCATTTTTAAACCCTGCTATCTTGGTGTTCTTTGCTCTGGCTGTGTAGTCGGGGGAAAGAGCATGGGGCCTCACGTTCACTCTTCACTGCCTTTAGATGTGATACATCTGTGTTTATGCTGTAATGGGCGAGACCTAGTCAATGTGGTCCCCGCACTCCCGGCTGCCAGGACCACTGGGAGATGTGAGGTACACACGTGCTTGGCGGGCACTGCTGTTGGCCACAAGTACCTTGGCATGACCACTCAATTCCAGTGCCTGTGGATCCAAGAAACCCTTTGTTGCATTCACCTCTGCTTGCTGTGTCTGTCACCTGGACTCACAGGAGACTGATGGATAAACCAGAATGCAAACGGATTACTTGAGAGCAAGACTTGAAGCTGTCAAGCAAGTCCCAAGTACTCTCACTTGCCAAAGAGCACACTGAGTCCTCGAGACAAATCAACATTTGAAGCCAAACTATGGTTAGGAATTGTTTATGGAGTATGAAATCAAAGCAAAAGGTTAAGGAAGGGGGTGATTCCTGTGGTTAGTGCCAGCTCGCTGCAGAGCAGTCCTTTCTGTAAGACGTTTGTGAAACCAAACCACTGAGGGTCATGGTTCAGGACAGTCTTCATCGTTGGCAAGGCTGGGGATGCCTCCTAAATTCTCTCCAGGCTCCAAACATGAATCAGAGCCTGGGGAGCGGGGCCCAGCGCTCCGTGCGCTCCTGATGGATTCCCTGGGAATTCTAACGGCCAAGCACAAAAACCATCAAAATAAGAGTGTGATGCAATGGGGCAGGCTTCCACTTTGCTAGCTATGCTCACATTCCACACATGCTTCCTCGAGACAACACCCACATCCCCCTAATGGAACCCGGGCGTTCCCAAAACTCATCAGATACTCCGCTTACCCAGGGCCCTAGGAGAACATTCCTCTCATTGGCTGATTTTACCCTGGTTTCATTCTCAGAGTAATGAGCCTGAGGTTGAGTGTAATCCCAGGTAGTTTTGTAGAGGAGGACTCCTTGCTTGCTTGTGTTGATGCCTGGAGAAGCCCCTTTTGGCGAGGCACTTTCGGGAAGCTCCAGAAGGCAGGGCTTGGAGAATGACCGGTGTTTCAGAAGGATTCACATCAGGGGTCCCGAGGCTCTTTTTAAAGATGTGTGCCAACAGCATCCTGAGTGAGCCCTGCCCAGAAAACAACAGCCACGCATCCTGTACCCTAGCCCGAGGGAGAAGATTCTAGCAGCCCTTCTGTGTACCTGGCACTTTCCATCAGGAATCCCAGAGTCCCTCCAGACAGCCCTGTTGGTGTGATCCGCAGCTCACGCTGAAGAAACAGGCCTGCCGAGGGCAAGTGGTTTGCACACGGTTACATCTGGGAAGTGGTGAAGCTTCCTCCCCACATAAAAACTTTCCCAGGGCTGTCCCCACCCCAGAAGTAGAAAAAGCAACCCAAAGGTGCATCTTGGTCTCCCTATAGGTATCAGCAAGAAAACACAGGAGTCAGGAATGAAGCCTCCAGCCCTGGAAACACCTGACCCATGTCATGCTCCAAAGGCTATTTGGACAACACAAAGTGTGCGCTCTCTTCCAAATCCTGTCCACCATTGTTTGCCTTCAAAGTGAAACCGCTTGTGCATCCTGGAGTATAGTTGTAAAGGGTCCCCTTTCAGCTCAAAAGTCTTCTTGTCATAAACTGATACAGCAAATAAAATGTTGGTGTTTACTGGAGCAGCCTCCCAGCATAGGAAAGGAGGCCTAGGGCCCTGATGCTAAGACACAGAT